AGAGGGGGGAGGTCAGAGAGGAAGAATTGAGGGCGTGGTGTGTGGAGATTGTGGTCTGGAGACCTGTGGGGGGTAGGCAAATCCGTGGTTGTTGGTAGGATCAGGGTCGTAAATCTAGTTCAATGGAGAACAAAACGTTAGACAACTTGAGAAAAAACATGATACGGCAAAATAAGGCGATATGAAACTCATTAGCTGGGGAGAAGAGTGGAAGAGGAAAATGTCGAGGATGAGAGGGGAGAAAGAGGGTTGCCAAAGGCGGTGCGGAGGTTCTGATCACACCCCAGACGGAGCGAAAGTGACTTTCGCTCCCGGTTTGGGCTCTGGGAACTGCGCCGACCCAACTGCAACGCTCAGGGCGCTGTCTCGAGGTCCCAGAGCCGTGACAACATCGCGAGTATCTGGCACCAACCAAGTATCCATAAGAAAAGCCTCGAAGAACATACCGTTCAGTAATGCGCCAGCAGCGAAACTCGTAAGATGCAGCTGCCGCGACCGAGTCCGGTTCCCTGAACCACCGCGATCGCGGAGAGAGGATAGGAGCAAGCCAGAAGAACTCGAAAGTATTGTCCGATATGTAGTATGAATGCACTCGCCAGAATCCGCGCAAGCAAACTCTCGTCGAGAGGAAGTATTGTACGTAGGAGGAGGTGGTGAAAGTCAACGCTCACGAAGCGGGCAAGACGACAGTGCAGCGTAGCGGGAGGATGGGCGGCATGGAAGAGGAGGGTAGACGGTTGGATGAGGAAATTGTTGAAAGCAGCAGAAAGCGAGCGAGTAGTGTGGGGAAAAGAGTCTGGAGATAAAGACCACCAAGTCTGAAGCGCTAGGGAAGCGATGGCAGCTTGGAGGTGAGAGGAAAAGAGGAGGAGAGGCGGCGGCGGAGGGAGAAAGAACCAGAGCAGCAGCAGAGCAGCAAAGCAGCAGCAGCAGCAGCAGCAATGATGGAGATTGATTCACTGACTGGCCGGCCGCTTCCCTTTCGCTGCTCCTCTTCCCGTATACCGCCTGTATCGCGTTCTGCCGACTGTATTGTTGCCGCGCCCCGTGGAGTCTCACCGCCTTGACGTGCGACCATCTTATCATCCTCGGTGTCTCGCTCAATTGAGGACAACAGGAATTTCAATGGTAATTGTCATATTTTCAGGTGGATATAGGATCATTTCATTTGGGTCGGTTATCAAAATTTGATTTCCTTGTGGCTGAGACTTCTAATGCCCCTTCATTAGTTGGACCGCTATCAGTTCCCACGTGACTGAACCGGCGCCTATCGCCGAGACCCAGAAAAAAAAAGAGGAAAAAGTAAAAAAAGTAGGAAACATCAGAACAGAAACGCCAAGCGCAGATAATACGGAAATTTGACAGTTACAGGCCTGTCAGCTTTACCATCTTACATTTTTCTCCATTTTTCGAAAGGGACTGGATCCCTAGGCTTCTATCATTATGGGAAAATCAGACAAGTCTCTTCCTCTCTTGGGGGCAAAGGCCTCCATTGATCCTACTCTCGCTGCCCTGTTTGAGACAAGTGTGCGTAACACACACCTTCTGCTTCGCCAGTGTATCTTGAACTAACATGGCCACATGGGGCATCATTAGGCTGGCCCAGTAAAAGCTCCTTCCGTCACAATCGCCGCTCCCGCTCCCCAATCAAGCAAGCGCACTGCCGAAAATGACGAGGATGAAGATGGCGAAGATGTGCTCTCCGAATTGGAAGACGAATCTCTGCCCGAGGACGAGGAGATGCAGGAAGCCCCGGAAGCATCGAGCGATGAGGGCAGCGACAAGGCCGAAGTAGCCGCCGAGGCGCCCAGCCGCAAACGCAAGAGGACCACTGCAGAAGATGTCGAAGACTCATACATGCGTCGCATCGCGAAGGAGCAGAAGAAGGAGGATGAAAAGAGACGGGAAGAGAAGGCGAAGCGACAGAAGACGGTAGAGGGTGAGCAGGGAGAGGATGCCGAGATATCTGAGGAAGAAGATGATGAGGAGAGTTCTGAAGAGGATGAGGAGAAGACGGCCGCCCCGAAGCACGAGAGCCAGACAGGGGATGCCGAGTCGAAGGAATTGGACAAATCTAACCGAACTGTTTTCTTGGGCAATGTCTCTAGTGAGGCGATCAAGTCCAAGTCCGCTAAAAAGACCCTCCTGAAACACCTAGGATCGTTCCTCTCTACGCTTCCGGAGTCTACTGGACCTCACAAGGTGGAATCTATTCGCTTCCGCTCCACAGCATTTGCCAGTGGTGGCGGAGTCCCCAAGCGAGCCTCATTTGCCAAGCAAGAAGTACTGGATGATACGACGCCGTGCACCAACGCATATGCCGTCTACAGCACTGTGCAAGCCGCGCGCAAGGCTCCCGCTGCGCTCAACGGTACCGTGATTCTGGACCGGCATTTGCGTGTTGACAGTGTCGCGCATCCTGCCCCGATCGACCACAAACGCTGTGTTTTCGTCGGTAATCTGGACTTTGTCGACAACGAGGTCAAGCCCGACGATGAGCAGAAGAAGAAAAAGCGAGCCCCCGCAGATGTTGAAGAAGGCCTCTGGCGGACCTTCAACGCTCACACCGGTCGTTCGAATAAGGATAAGCCCAAGAATGGAAATGTTGAATCAGTCCGCGTGGTTCGCGACAGCCTCACTCGTGTCGGCAAAGGATTTGCCTACGTTCAATTCTATGATCAAAATTGTGTCGAGGAGGCTCTTGTACTCAATGGAAAGCATTACCCGCCTATGCTTCCCCGCAAGCTCCGTGTGTCCCGGGCCAAGAAGGTTCTCAAGAAGCGTTCAGACGGCGGTGGCCAGAAGAAGACGCTTGGTGAGGCAGACAAGACCCTTCAGGGTCGCGCAGGCAGACTCTTTGGCCGGGCCGGTGCAGCCAAGGTGAAGGCGGATGCGCAGAAGTCCATCTCGCAGAACTCCTTGGTGTTCGAAGGCCATCGGGCCACCGAAGGTTCGCACATTCGGGTCAAGACGAAGAGCCGTGGCTCCAAGGGCAAGCCGAACAACCGGAGCAGCAAGCGTGCTGCGGCCTACAAAGCCGCTGGTGGATGGAAGAAGGGGAAGACCGATTAATGGACTGGGATGTGAGCTTGCTGGCGTTTTTATAATCTGTATTCTATTTTCACGGGTGTATTTTGCATGTCAAAAAGCCAATTGATACGAGACTCGTTAAGTAGATATCCATCTGTTGCATGCCAATTCATCGGTTGTGAACTGTCTGTATTGTGCCTGTTCTGCTGTACGCGATGTGTAACTTTGGCCCTTTCAGGAACACGCCCATGACGTCACCTATCGATTGCGCCGCCTTTCTCCTGGCGATATCAATCACTGCTATCGCCCTTCACATATGCAGCGCTCTTCTCTTATAAACCGGCATGTAACATATTCCTATGAATGCTAGTTCTAGTCAAATCATTGATAGACTTTTGTTCCATATTTTAACCATCGCGTGTGGTGCCTACTGTATCTCTCCTCCCCCTCTATCATTCTGCCCGGAAGGCGGGGTGAGATCAAAACGGTTACACTAAGTTGACCGACATCACTTGAGTCAGACTGGTGCCTGAGCCCAACCATTGAAATGAGCTTGTCTTGAGTGAGCAATCCTCTTCATTTTGTAGCTGTCTTATGTTGGCCCGCTGGCTAAGTTCGTCAAGGCAACAATTAGATTTGATACCGAACTACGACCGTTTCTAAGTCTGTCGTTTCGCATGAGCCAACGTTAGGTTTGTATCGGTACAAACTTAAGGAGGCCCTTTCAAGTAGCTCGCAGGCTACAAACATAATGATGTTGCCTCTAGTCAATCGGCTTGCTATAAGGCGACGACCAAACCGGCCCCCCAACAACAACGATACAAGCACCCCACCAGTCGAGGATAACAAGGACTCTTCCCCGGAAGGTGACACATACTATCCCAGTTGTTTCGATGTTTTGAAGGTTCGGTATTTGCTACAGCATATTTGGCAATGGACGAGGAACTCGCAAGAGTTGCTGCCAGCTGAAATTGTAGATATGATTGTGGACGCAGCCGAGTATTGGGCTTCTTCTGAGTCCGTCCTGGAAGGAGAGACTGTTATCAGGAAAGATCAAGATCAGATTATTCTAACGACGGTACCTCTGTGCTATGATGTGCAGGTAAGTTGGAGCTTTTGGCCTACTGTGGCATTTTGCATGCGTCTCACTCCACCCGGAGACTTTTTCATCGGGTTATTGTTGCTGACACCGTGTTTAAACCACCAGACCTTGAATACTCCGTCTCCAAAGCCTTTGCCCCATCGGACCACTCATCCATGCCGCCAGATCATCTTTACTATTGAATCTCACGATCAGGGATGGGGTGGCGGCCCAGGGTCTCGCGGCCAATACGGGGGCTCTTATTCGTGGTTTGATACCGAAGTCATTCACTCAGCACATCAGAAGAGAGCTGCAAATAATCAGCCTCCACCGCAGGGTCCATTCCATTTTGGGCCCGATCATCCTAACCTGCTGCCAACGGCTCATAAGCTACAGTCGAATAAGACGGCCGTGCCAGGTTCGCAAAAGCATACTATTGTTTGGCACTACCAGGATGATATCGCTCCGGACTCGAGTGAAGCGGAGGAAATTGAACGAACTCAGGGACGAGGACGAGCCACACTGGATGGAAGCCAAGTCCGCAGTCTGGAGATTGGAGATGCGATTGCTGTCTGGGGTCGGGCACGGTTTGGAGGGTGGTCGAACCATGTGCAGCGAGTGTCAGTGCGGGTGTTTTGGGCGGTCTAATGCGGGGATCCTAAGTCAGCAGACTCTTTAGAGTGCAGGAGAGCTAGAAACAAGTAAATCTCTGAGGAGCAGTAAGCAGATATGTAGTTATGAACTCGTGTTATTGTTGGATTATTTACTAAGCAGCTGTAACTATACATCCTTATCGGCTATCGATAGACTGGGAGTATACTATCTGGGTAGTATAGATGGTAGCCTGCCAAATCAGGCCGGAGAGAGCATCACCTCATTCCCCAAGGCGATCACGCAATTGCGCCAAGACCACCCAATCCCGTCATCTGCGCATTTGAATATAAGGTCGCTCTCTTCCTCCATCACCAGCAACGCTGGTTTTGTCCTCCCTCTTTGGACCAAACTGGAAGACACAGTCCCGTCAATTAACCAGACAGAAGCTCAATGTTGCTCCCTACTTGACGGTGACCTTCCCCCCGACTCCTCTACGCCTTGCGGCCCTCCTTCATTCCCAGCCAAGACGACAGAATGTGACTGCCGACGGAAAGCGGCCCAGGATGCTCCAGGAGCGAATCCGGGTGGGGCTGGCCACATTGGATTGCGCAACAACCGGTCAGTCGTGCGAGAAGCGGTGATACACTCAGTGTGACCAGTGAGCAGTGCGGTTATCACCGCCTGACCGGCCGTAGCGGAGGCATCATGCGTTATCTCGCCCGAGAGACTTTGTTTCTGCGCAGTTTTCCTGCGCCGTGACTCGAATTTGGAGCGGATTGACTGGCTGATCGGCTTTCTTCCCATCTGCCTATCCTATCTAGGCCATCGGGGTACTCGGCTATCCCATTCTCAGCGGTCATTCATGGTGTTGTGTTCGTGGCTTCCCCTCTCCCGCCAAAACATGGCCTTGATTCTCGTTCGCCTGTTTCGCCGAGAATTACGCCGGCAATACGACCCAGCTCCCCTGGCGTTCTGACTCCCATCCCCATAAATGCCTCTCCCGCTCTTTTGAGATCACGCTTCGATTGTCACAACCACCCTTTTATCAGCCCTGTGAATTTGTGATATCCCGACTTTCTGCTATTATTTCCTCCACCCCATCTATAGGAGCAATTTGAGGATGGCTCAACCCCAGAAATGTGCTGCTGTCGTTGTGGGAGCCGGTCCAGCCGGTCTGGCGGTTGTGGGAAATCTCCTGGAGAAGCAACTTGGAGGGAAGATTGCCTGGGTTGACCCGTTATTCCAAGGTGGCCGGATAAACCAGAGATACCGCGAGGTTCCTAGGTGAGCAAATCCTCGGTCTGGTCGTCAGAACGAGCTTCAGGGTGCCAGAAGAGGAACACTCCTGCTGACTGGTTCTGTTGGCTCAATCAGCAATACCAAGGTGTGCTATTTTCAGGCGTACGCTACGGCCGTTCAACCTTTCCGCACTGTAATCGAAAACACTCGTATCCCCAACCCATTTACGACGATGGCCAAACTCGACCAAAATAAAACCTGTCATTTGCATCATGCTATTGATGTGGTTCGTGCTCTTACCGATGGCATCACAAAGATGGAACGGGTTCTGCCGTGTCGAGGAGTTGTCACAGCTGCCAACCTGGCCGAGAAAGTCAGTTATAGCGCTCTAGGAGCCATTTAGGATCCCGCATCGCTAACATTTGACCGTCGACATAGACTGCTACCTGGACCGTTCGCATCCGGTTGCAGGACTCGCAGGACGAAGTCGAGGTACTGACGCCTCGCCTCGTCGTGTGCACAGGGTCATCCCCAACCGAGGTCTCTATCTCTATTCCCGGGCACCACATTGAAAGACTGGACCTGGATCTTGTACTGAAGCCCAGCGACCTGGTGTCGCATCTTCCCCGAGATAAGCCCTTGACCGTCGCCGTAGTAGGAGCGTCGCATAGCGCCATCCTTGCCCTCCTCAACCTGGTAGATTTGGCCCGCACATCCCATCCCGAGCTCCGTATCAAGTGGTTCACGCGGCATTCCCTGCGGTATGCCGAATTCATGGACGGCTGGATTCTCCGGGACAACACCGGACTCAAAGGGTCTGCCGCCGACTTCGCCCGTCAGCAACTAGAGGATGACAAGCTGCCACATTCCGAGGCTGGCCGGTTCATCACCAAGGTCTACTGCGGCGACAACCAGGAACAAGCACAGTATGAGCGGCATCTGCCCTCGTGCTCGTACCTAGTACAGGCCGTCGGCTTCACACGGGACCCGCTGCCAGAGCTGTCAATCAATGGCTCCTCATTGGAGCCCGAGTTCGACCCGGTTTCGGGAGGCTTCCGCGACTCCAACGGCCGCGTTGTCCGGGGTCTGTATGGGGCGGGCATCGCTTTCCCGGAGCGGGTGGTCGATCCGTATGGCAACGTCGAGCATGCGGTCGGCTTCTTCAAGTTTATGAACTTTGTGAAGCGGGTGTGTCCCCAGTGGGTGTCGTAGGGCTGTATTCTTAGCAGACTTTGAGTATAGTGCATCGTCAGTGTCACCGCTGGTCGGGATATGACTTGAACAAATATAATAATCTTGCAAAGAGCATGATATACCTTCTAACTACCATCCATCTCGTAATGCGTATAGCCATAGGCATGATATAGTAACCAAGTTGAAATAGCATCGAAAGACAATTGATTCCTGCGACAAACACAACAACCATCTCGGAGAACTGTGGCTATGAAACACTATAATACGAGACTATATCCACTTTGTCTGATGTTGGATTTTAATCACGACACTAGTAGTTCCACCATCCACTACTACATAAGCATCCTGTATCCATCCATCAGTGACTCACTCACCAGACTACATAAATACAGTCAACTACAACCACTCCCAACCACAATTGATAAATCAATCATCCAACCATCCAATTTTACAAGAAGAAGAAGAAGAAGAAGAAGAATTGAACCATCCAAAATGTCCCCCCCAAAACCAACCTCCACCCTCTACGCCACCACCCTCCCCATCCTCACCAGCATCCTCAAAACCCTCCTCCACCTCCTCCGCACCGCCGAACGCACCCACTCCAACCCATCCTCCCTCCTCCTCAGCTCCCGCCTCCATCCAACCATGTACCCCCTCACCGACCAAATCCGCCTCGTGACATCCAACTCCGTCCGTCTCTACGCCCGGCTCACCAACCACCCCGAGGCAGACACTCTCCCCACAACCTTCCTACCAGAGGGTAACCCGCAATCCTTCGCGGAGTGCTACGAGCGCATCGACAAAGTGCTGGAGCTTCTGAAAGATGCGGATAATGATGACGCTACTACGAAGGAGGTGGTGAATTCCAATGCCGAGACGGTCAAGCCTGCGCCCGTGGGACCCGGAGTCGAGATCGATGTGACGAATGCGATGTATGCGCATACCATGGTCCTGCCGAATATTTATTTTCATTTGAATATTGCTTATGCGATTGTGCGCATGGAGGGCGTGGAGATTGGGAAGAGGGATTTGTATGCTGGGTTTGGGGAGTTGTGGGGTTAAATGTTTCTTCATTGTTTGATTAAGTGCTGTATGTATGTATGTATGTACGATATTGGGGGGTATGGTTTAGTTAGGTGGCTGGGAATAGATATGGACATCTCTCCTCTCCTTCGCTTTATGGAGACTGATTCATAGGGAGTAACAGTAGCTACCAGGTTTCACTAGAATATAGGTACCTTTCCATAGACTCAAGGTTGATGGTCATACTACCATGATATCCATCTAGTGATCCAAAAAAAGAAAAGGCATTACTCTATCCAATTTCCCTCAATGCAACTCATAGACATCCTTGACCATCTTCTCAACGTTACCTCCTCCAACTAGCGTTGGTTCATCGAATACGTTGCAGAATTGGTTGTCTGCCTGCTGCACGTGAAGCCCATAGTCCTCTATGTACTTGACAAATAATCCCACTTCAAGGTGGTTATGCAGGAGTAGAATCGAGACTTTCCGCATGATGTGCAGGAAGACAGCCAGAGCAGCATTATACTTGGTCGTTGTCTCAATGGGCGCAAAGTAATCACCTAGGCGTCGGAACTGATCAAGTGATGGGAGATGGCTACCCAGCTGGGCCACAGAAACTGAGTAAAGTGATGGAAGCTGTTCTACTAATAAGTCAGTATTGACTGCCATCTCCCCATCCAGGAGTGAAAGGGAATGACTCACCGAGTGTGGCTAAATTGGCCTCTTCGCGCCAATCCTCTCTGCGCAACGCTATGTAATGATGGTGTGGTGTATATAAGATGGTAGTTGTTGGGTGACGTTATAGTTGGGGACTAGTTGGTTAGTTGTGATTATATATGGGCCTCTCTCCTTCGATATAGTCCGGTTGGGGTTCAGATGCCGAGGGGTGTTAAAATGTAGCTACTATATAAGCTCGCATTGAGGTTGGTCTACTCTGGACTTTAGGATGTTCTGCATAGTAGAAGAGCATTCCGTGTTATGCTTCTTGAGCAAGGTACATCGAATGCGTAAGACCATGCGTTTTTCTCACTCCACAGGTCCCCAACTCAGCTCATACACATCCTTGATCAACTTGACAACATCGCCTTTGCTAACCTGTAATGGTTTCTGGAATACCTCGCAGGATGGGTTACCAGCGTCCCGCACTTGGTCCTCGCGAATCAGGATGTTGTCGAAAAGTCCCCTTGCATCTAGATTCTCAAAGTGACTTGATATTGCCCGCATGAGGTGCAGAAAGACCGCCAAAGCAGCGTGATATTTTCTCCTTTTCACAATGGGCGCAAAGTATTTACCCATGCGCTCAAATTGCTCAAGTGCAGGGAAAAGCCTAGCCAGTTTTTTCACGGTAATTGAGGTAATAGGCGATGGCGAACCTACTGGTTGGTCAGTATTAGCTGCTTTTGACTCTCCAAGCTAGGGGACACGGAATGGCTCACATATGTGGTCTTCAAGGTGTCGACTAGCCTCTTGGGATCCACCCTGTTTGCAAGATGCTGAGTACTGCTCAGTTATGTGGTAAAGTAGCCGCTTCCACACGCACAATTCGATCATGGGAGAAGTGATGTTCTCTGTCAGACTGGCGAGGCGAACAATGGCGACGAATCCCTCAATAGGGTAAGCCAGAAGGGGTGGGGCGCAAGTATATCTTTCATGCCAAGGATCAGAAAATCTTCCCACCAAATATTGTTGCAAGGTCACCGAGTGAGGATCAATAGTTGACCATGGATTTGCGGCTGGTAGGAGACCAGCATTCACAGCCACACCATCAAGTTTGCTTATGGCCCTGCAGCACCACTTCAGACACTCCATCAGGCCAGAGGAGGCTCCCTCCTCTTTAGCTATCTTGTCGATCTCGGAGCAGACGGAAGAGAGAAAGGCCACAAGCGTGAGACCATCATGAAAGCGGTGTTGATATACTCTGTTGAGGACTTGGACCCATTGCTGTCGATTGCCATCCTCGTCAAGAGGGACCAAGGGCAATGCAGCATCAACACGCTCACCATTAGGTAAGACTCCGACATTGAGCAGAATAAATGCGCAAGCATCACATGATGTCAAAGGTAATATAATATCAGTACCCGGGTAGCTGCTACCCAGCACTATTGAATATCCCTGTTCAACATAACCACTATTTATCCGTGGAAGACTGGGGGTAACATCCGAGCTGGTGTTGATTCGGAGAAGAAGACACTGTATCGAGTCCTTCTGTCCACAGATAGGACATGTTTGGTAGTATGAGAGCTCCCCAAAAGCTTCCTCGAATCTGTGCCTGTGGCCTTTAAATCCCGTCAAAAACAGGCATTTGTGGTCTCTGGATTCGGGCGTCGCATCATGCGAAAGCTGTCCAGACTCGGAAAGATGCGAAACACTTCTCACTCCGACCAACGAGCTGTGCCTTTTTGCTCGTCGAGTACTTCTGGCTTCATATGACGATGTGTCTCCTGAATCCGGTGAAGTCATTGGAGTAAGGTTGTTTGGATGCATTGATCTTGCATGCAGACTTAATGCACTCAATCTTATCAATACTTCTTCAAGTTCATACTCCATCATTGATGACACAAGATGAGTGGCTTTGACATTCGAAATCCAGTTCTGATGATGCTGGCCACGAAGATTTGACTTGGTGGGTCCAAATTCTGATAGACTGTTTGATCTGTGGAGTGCTTGCCACAGATTCCGGGGTTCGGGCGTATCCAGGGCCAAAGTATCGAATTTCCTCACAAGATCGACGAATATCTTTGTTGCCTTGCCACCTATATCTTCGACTGGCAGAAGCATATTATCATTCAAGTGAGACTGTAATGCTAGACAGGAGTCCATTATCCATCTTCTGACTATATCACGTTGACCCCTTGTTGTCGCAGCCACGAGGATGACATCCAAGGCGGAGTAGTCCGATATCAGGGTAAGTGTGTCAGTTTCGGATATGGAGCCAGTATAAATACTAATCAAGTCAAATTGGGTTCCATCTGAGAGAGGAACCATATCCCCGGACAGTTTTACCGGTAATGGGACCTCGACCCTCAAGAGATCTTCGTATGTGATGGTCACTAGATCCTCCCATCTTGTCCACTCTCCAAACGACGAGAACTCCCTCCCTGCGGGGAGAATGTTGGAAAATGTTCCTTTGGCCTGCAAGACGTACACGATATCGGTTTCCACATCAGAAAAGAGAAAGATGCAGTGTGGCGCCGCGGCAAACACAGAGATCCCAACCGAAACGTCGCAGTCGAATGGTGACTCATAGCGTTCCCCAAACAAGATAATCACACAGGCCGTGCCATGGATTCCAGCGTTGTAGATGGCATTGGCAAACTTCTGAATCCGATGCTCCCGAATGATGCCGTCCGTTAAGAGGAACCACAGGCTGGCGTCCTGAAGTTTAGATGTGCACCTTGAACTCTGCAGCAAAACACCAGGATCAGTTCCGCCAGAAACATAAAGCTCTTCGACTTGTGAAATCTCCATTGACGGGAGGGCTGTTTTCGACCAAGGAAGAATGGTAGACAATGGCACCAATTCCGGCGACATGGAACGCCAAAACTTAGTGATAGCATCTGTCTCTTTGCGAAGGACGATGCCTTTCGTGCTCCCAGAGACATCTACCGCAAAAGTGAGAGGGAGCTGGCCTAGTAGAGGTAATTCTCTTGTCTTTTCAGAGATGTCTGCTGCGGTAGTGGGAGGATCCCGCGGTCGTAGAGGCAAGTCTCTCATGTTCTCGGAGACATCTTCCATGGCAGTAAATGGTTCTCGTCCTCGTAGAGGCAAGTTCAATTGGCCCTGGCGACTAGTTCCCGGTACAGACATAGTTGACTAGCAGGTAAGTGGACTTAAGCTGAGGTTGTGCAGATACGAATCGGTGTTTAGCGGTTCTTGGATGAAAATGGACTTTTGCTGGATAACTCGATGGAAGAAGTGGTTGATTGACATCTGTGCTCAACTTGAAAACAGAGACTATATAAGTCACAGCGCAAGTAGTACAAATCACGGGTTCTGACGAGCCAGCAGGGCGTTTGTAGGAGCGAGAGAAGGAACCTCAGTGCCCCTCCAACGTTTCAGGTTGTGATGTATTAGTAAATATTCTATGCGTGCGTGGTTCCGAGTGTGACAGAGTTGTTCTGGTTGGTCATTGTGAGTCTTGCGGGATTGCTTCCATGCAAACAAATCATCAAACGCTCTGACAGAGCAGACACGCTATGATTAACAGGCAGGTTAGGCTGTGTGAGGCTACAGTAGGACAAACACCCTCCCCAGCTCCATTGGTGACAAGCACAATTTCTATAGGGCGGCGTATACCCCGATTCCTGCACCAGGACTTTCGAGAAAGTTCATCATTACCCGAAAGCTGTTCACACTGAAGAAACGAAAACCGGTATACATGGTCGGACGATCCAAGATCGAATCATGTTCTCTGGCACTGTAACATTGCATTCAGTGAAATGCGCAAGATTGATGTTTCTTTGTAACGATATTGAGATGCACAGTTGATTGTTGGTCTGATCGGCACTTCAGCAATGGGGAAGCTCCTCAAGAAACTTGACAAGAAATCATCAGTAATGTTCGCTAATTCATAGTAATGCAAGGATTATTGTTTCTCACCATTATCTACAGAATCCTCCATGTATTACCGCACACTTAGCAACTTGAGTCTCTGTACTCGAGACTCAGATATTCAGATATTCGGATATGATAACGGTGTTCGATGTTGAAGAGAAGAGACTCATTGACATCCCAGCTTCTGAACAGATGGCTGGACCAGACCTTTATGGATGATGGCTGTTGTGGAAAAGAAGGTGAAAAACTGGAATTCAATGGTGTGTGTAGTGGCTACTGTATGACAGGATGTGGTCCCTTATATATGGGGGACTGTGTGAACTTGATGACCTGAACTTCGTGACACCCTTCTCATCTTGAACCAGGATAATCCCCAATCGAACGGAAACTTCCACAGAGACCTGATTTATAAGAAGCGGGACCGGAGAATTCTTGTTCATGTCATTCTTCACTGGCAACTCACGGCTTGGGAATGCCTTCCCATCTAGATTCCCATCTAGAGCCTGACTTGTGGTGATGGTGTCTTGATCTATCACAGGTGCAGTAACTGTTTCTTACTATGGGGAGGGGGAAGTCAGATACGTGCTACTGATTTAAAATCATCTGTATTCACCAAAACAATACAAGTGGACTCGACTGAGTCGACAATAATTCCAGCCTATGAATAGTCGTATCCCCACATTGTAATTTCCCAATAGAAATACCCACTACTCGTTCACTTCCGAACCAAACAAACAGACCTTGACTTTGATGACTTGAATGGGGCAAATCCATGCACTATGTGTACCCGACGCTAAGAAATACTGTCGCCTAATCTGGGGAACAGGGAAGCTTGTTTGAGGGGATTCGGGGATACTAAATAGGCACCCGAGATAAGCCACTATACAATACTATATGCATCGGGATGAACTACTTCATTCTGGGAGTCTAAGTCCGAGGATATTATGCCCGTGCATCGGTCGAGTTCTCAACATGATGGGGCATCAGTTGCACTAACTGAATTGCAATATGCACCAGTGGCTAAGCGATGGCGTCTTTGCATTGAGTTAGAAGTCATACTAACTATTAACTAATCAGTCACTGCACTTCTACATGGATTAGTCATGTTTGCTGTCCCGTGCACTTGTTATTTACCTACTTACCGTGCATTGGCACAACAGATATACCCAGACTTCTGTGTTCATTCAGGACAATATGACTAAATACTCAGCTCGCACTGCTCTCAAAAAATACTCCGAGGAGCTGGGCAATACGACAGAAAGAAATGCGGTACCCATCAGTCGCTCGCAAACATTAATCTATTACATCGAAGGCAACAAATGGTGGATTAAAGTGACACTAGTAGGCCCGACCGCCAACCTCCACCTCGACAACGCCGGAGAGCAGCAAACCACCAAGCGTGAACGGCGCGAGTTCTTCCAGAGCTTTGTTCGACGAATAGATTACAAATTGCTTCCTCTCATCCCGTACACCGTAACAGAGATCATCCTAGGAGATCCAACAGCAACCGGTCATGAAAGGGAGCTCCAGCTTGACGATGCTTCTGGCACCTTGCCAAATCCCACTACAGCTCTAAGATGCAACATCCGAGAAGACTTTCGCAGCGTCGCCTATCCTTCATGCGACGAATTCCCCTCTTTCCGACAATTTCATCACAAAGAATTGACGGGTGCTACTGAAATCACGGCCGGGGTACTCTGGGTCTGCCACCGCAAAACGCGATACGTCCTCAAGATAGTGGACCGCCCTCTCTATCGACGTCACGATACCGAGGTCATTCGCAAGGAACTAGAGAACCTCAACTACTTCGCTGGAGTACCAAACATAGTGCAGGCAGCTGGGATTGCCGTATCTACGAACCCTTACAAGTCCTTTGACTGGGACACCGGCTTACCACTGGTTGTGACGGGCATTCTACTAGAAGCATATCTCGGAGGGACACTACAGCAGGTCCTCTCCGATCGTCGCGTCACAGAACACCGCTGGAAGCAATGGCCCATCCAGATCGGAACCGCGCTGAATCGCTTCCACGAGGCAAAGAAAACTCACATGGACCTGCAATCGTCGAATATTGTTCTCGACGCCGACGGAAACGCAGTGCTCATCGACATCAGCGGCATCGGCGGATACACGTCTGAATGGTGTGCACCCGAGGTTCTAAGCGACATTCCACCGTGTGATCTTCCCTTTGAACAACGTCAACAGAACGATATCTGGGCGTACGGGAAACATCTATCCGAGATCGCATCACAGATAAGCGGTGATCCGTACGTAGAGACCTTGCGCCAAGTTGCGGACGGGTTGATGGGAATAGATCATCAAAAACGCATGAGCATAGCGATGGCCATTGCACAGCTCCAAAGTGCTTAAATTGATAACGATAATCCCGAATCCAAGTTGAATACTCTGAAGTGCCAACGGAAATTAAGATTCCCCCTATCCCCTCACGCCAACCCACCAATGATATTCCTCCCCGCACAAGATAAATGAAAGTCTCCCGCCGATCAAGTCAATCCCAATATCGATTACATCCGTGCTTGTCGTTTTCCCTGATTTCCTCTCGGACTGACTTTCTTCATCGATTCCAATGTCAGCTGCTGTAACTACTAACGTACAGTTTGCACATAATTCTGGCTTAGTATCATTGCATAACATGCATACAATACAGCTTCCCTGCTCAGGTGACAGATAGACAGTCTCAAACAAAGAATCTTTTTCCTCGAGACGAAGTCCCTAAATTACTACCTCCCCCAACCATCCTTACATCACCGTCTGTCTCAGGGGTAGAAAACAGAAAAAAAAAAAAAAAAAAAAAAAAAAAAAACTCATCTATAATAGGGACAGCTATCAAGATATGGTTCTCCTCGGGCAAGAAGACTGTCTATTACCATGGAACTCACCCGAAACCAAAAATCAAGACAACTGAACCCCTCACGTGCCTTGCAGGTCCCAAAACAACCCCCCCAAACAAACAAAAGGCCCACGATACCATCCATCTGTTGTGTCTGTCCTGTCATCTTGGCAAAGAAAAGCAAATCCCAATCAAATCAATATACTGCATTTCACCAACCAATATTTGATAATAATATCGGAGTTAAACCTCGATATAATATCCATAAATAAACTGCAGTAGCAGTAAAAGGAATATCTTTTTCATCTTCAAGTTGAAAAAGAAAGAAAAAAAGAAAAAAAAGTTCGCCCAGTAACTTACAGTGTAATCAAATTACCCATCTCAAATCTCAAGAGTCAGTCAGTCACTCACTCAGTCAGCCTCTCTCCAGTCTCCACACACCGAAGTTTTGCCCGTCCGTCGGTGGATAACTTGGATTACTTAACTTACTTACTCGGGTGGACCCTTTATTTAACGGTTGGGTTTGATTACCGTGGAGCCCTTTTCTTTGCCCAATGGGTCTGGATCATCTCCTTCGATTTTCCTTTTCGCATTGTCATTTTACGTACGCTCATTTTTTTTTTTTTTACTTACCGGCCTTAATTTCGAAAGGGTTGAGGGGACGGAGTCTATAATATTCTAGATCTATCCCTATCATATAGTTAGATTGTTTTGTTTCACTTTATCTGTTAGCCGGCATTGCTCGGCCCTACCTATGGGGTATTTGGTTATTAAATCATGCCTTTTATTGAGGCTACGTACTTGTCGGATTCGTTTTCCTGGGCTCATTAATATATCGTCTTATAATCCTTCGAATTTTCCATTCCACTCTAGCATTACCCTGCATGTCCCCAACTTATCCCAGACGGTCTTCTGCAGTCTAGTGGGCCATGCAAGGTATGCCCATCTCCACCCCGTCAGAATCTTCACCGGGCTCACCATGCAGGTCCCGTGTACACACAGCTACGACGCACCGACCCCTTCGTCCAGGGGCGCTCCGAGTCATCTGTCTAATGCATGCATGATAGGCCAGTAGTCATTCATTACACAATCCATATCTACATACTCCGTAAAGTCCGATGTCCAACCCATTAGGTCCATCCATCCGGAGGCACAAAAACAATGTCGTAGTAATAATTAACATACCCATACCATCGCCAGGAGCGAAAATGGCAGAGAAAGCCGGGATCTGTAACATCTTTTTCCGAGACACAAAGGATATTCTTCAGCAACGGGAAAGGTCCATGCAATCCTTGACAATCCAACAGGGCACGTGAAGAAGAAAGCTCAAAGAGGGCGTGAGAAGAGTAAAATGGGGGATGCAAGAAGGCGTAAATAGTACTCAAAAATCTATGTACCAGAAAGTAAAGAAAAGGTATCATCACCCGACCACGGAATTGGCAGCCCTCAGGCGGGCAGAGAAATCAGAACGTCATAGTTTTAGATGAGCGCAACAGCACCAAAGACAAGGGCCATCATGCCAATAGAGACCTGGTTGGCCATACCGGCGTTGGTGGACACGGTGGTGACGCTGGCGGTAGCAGCGCTGGAGCTCGCGGTGTTCGAAGAGCTGGTTGAGGCAGTCTTGGAGGAGGTCGCCGAAACGGTGGAGTTCGAGGCAGCCGTGGTGGTCGAGGTGGAAGAGCTAGCGCTCGAGGTGGTAGTAGACAGAGTAGTGGCGCTCACGGTGGAGGTCTGGTCGGTGGAAGAACTAGTGCTGGAAGCAGAAGACGTGGTTGACGAGGCAGTGCTGGTGGTCACCGCTCCAGTAGCACCGGAAACCGAGAAGCGCGGGGTGTAGTTAACATCGTCCGTGTTATCATCATCGATGATCTCAACGGTGTAGTCCGAGCGGGCCGCAAGATCGGCAGAAGGAGTCCAGGAGTAGCTACCAGAGTTGTCGATGCTCCCTAAATGGTCTCGTCAGCACCTATCTCATCAAAAATTTCCACACCATATCCATAGCGGGAGCTTACCGGCAATAAGGTCGCCCGTGGTGGTGGTGAAGACAGCACCCCACTGGAGTCTCAGGGTGACGGTGCCATTAGTAGTCGGGTCCCAGGTGAGAGTAGTCGGGCTGCCCGCGGTGAAGGTGTAGCCACCCTCAGGGACGTTGAACGGGTTGTCGGAAGCGGCCGCGAGAGACGCAATGGCGCTGAGAGCAAGGTAGAAGACGGAACGCATATTGATGGATGTTGGTGGAGAAGTATATGTGAGTAGTAGAATGACTCGGCACAATAACGGGGAATGGATAGTATGCGATATACAAGCGTAAATACGCGATGCAAGTGTGGGTGGTACAGAAGTAAAAGAATGACTTCTAAGTGGGAGAGAGGGAGAGGAAGGATAGTCTCGACGGTCAAAAAGAGTGAACCGGGGTGAGTCAGTAGATGCAGACGACGAAAGAACGAAGGACAGACGTCGAATGGGGAAATCGCACGAGGAAGGGAAAGAAAGAAGAGAAAAGAGGAAGGAACGAACCACAGGGGAGGGGGGAGGAGGATGTCTATGTATACTTACTAGTCCGTGAGTATTGACTGGACTGGAGAAAAGTTACTAAGTAGATACTAGACTAGTCTACTCGCACACTACTGCCTACCTGGCTTAAGTTAGACTAGGTTACCTTCTTAGTCCAAATTGCCCGACTCTGACCCAGACGGCGAAAATCAAGTGGGAAAAAAACACGAGAGGAGGAGGAGGGGGGGATCCATTGTCATTGCGGACAGACCGACGCAGGGCACAATGGATTGGATGACCCTGTGACTAGTGGACATCCGGACCTTCCTGTTCCTGGCCACACCAGCCCAGCCTATGGTCTAGCGTACCGGGCGTACCTGCTGTATCGGACCTCCTCCACTTGCGCTAATCCCCCTTGGGCGTCACTAGTCGCTCAACTGCTTTCTCTTCTGGCCTCATCTTCCGGTGGAAGTCCGGTTCGGATCCCCTCATTCTCGTCCATTTTGGGAGAGTTCAGGCCCGACTCGGGTGTAGCGTCTTTCCAATGGTACTATTTTTCGCTCGCCGACCGGGGGTTCGTCGGCTACAGTGGCTAGCTCTCACTAGATACATACTTAGACAGATGGCAAATTTTATATGACCTATCCGCGAGAGTCCGGACTTTGAATGACTTCCTTAGCGACAAGCCAAGGAGACGCTTGGAAAAAAGTGTAAGTAAATATAGCCCTCGATACGATTGAGAGAGGCATTATTGGCAGAAAAGGTGGTATCTGCTCAGGGGCGTTTTTCCCAATTCCTGCAGCAACAATTCAGGGCACGCGGACGATCATTGGGCAGAAATGAAATTAACCCTCGCCGACATGTTCCACTCCGCTCCAAAGTTTGTGGGAGCTGCTGATGCCCTCGTTCGGGACTAGCTCGAGGGCACCGTATTATTAGTACTGTCTGTCTGTCTGTCTGGAACCTTCTCTCTTGTTGGATGTATGATTGTATTTGTTTTCTGACGTGCTGTAACACAAGTCCTTCTACGCTTGCTCTTTTCTATTGGAATTGAATGCAAGTATCATGAGAGAACATTGGCTATCCGACTGGACGGCTGTTAGTGTCCAACAGTCTATCTTATCAGGATGTGCGGAACTGACATGTGGATGCGGCCGATCACGATTATTAATTTGGCCTGCGGTAGTATCCAACTAAGCAGCTACCCGACTACTCCCATATAGTATTCCATCTAACTAAAATACTGTTCAATACAAAGCTCAGAAGCGATTCAATGAACTGAGACATCACATCTCCAGGATCTAAGCCACCCACCACACTATCGAGATCCCTGTCCACAAACCAGGGGTCCATAGTACTTGCTATACGAACCTCTTTATTCGCCCTGATCTCTTTCTCTTCCTCGGAGCGGTACTCCTTTAGGAGTATCCAGTTCTCTCGGCTCCTCTCCCAGTGACCCAAAGTTCACGCTTTCCTTATCCAGTAATTTAGACACAAAGCTTCTCATCCACTTCAACTCCCAATTCGTTAAGGATTATCCCTCCCCCACCCCTCGAACCTCCCCTCCATCGACTTAGTCTATCGTTCTACTTAACGCCGACATCATTCTTCCCCCTGGACTACCTACTATGTACACTACTCTCACTATGGGCTAGACTTTTCTTGCCTTCCTCCTTGTGTTCTCTCCTTCGGAGACCGTCAGGTAGGCATTCTAATCCTGTATGGATATTCAAGACCCACGCCCTCGCTAGGCATCCATCCTGTCTAGACTATCATGGGAAATGAACTCCGTCCGAGCGTTTATGCCAGCATTCGAAGTCCTCACTTAGTGTACAGCGAGGAGCTAAAAAATTATCTACGAGAGCACTAACAACTTGAGCTAACCCACAAGCGCAGCGCGAAGCGGGGAGGCGCCACCCATCCCACCCATCCCACCCATCCATCCTTCCCATCTTCCTGACTTCCTACTATCTATAGTCGGCTCAAACCGAGGTTGCAGCCGCATCGCCTTGTTAGTGAGCTCCGGTGGCCACTATGGTGCGATGGCAATTTTACGCTCTCGTCCGAAGTGCTTCTATACTCAATGGCCGAACTCTGATTTGTCTGAGCTCGATCCTGGACTAAAGAGAGAACACTGAAATGACTCCCCACTATACAGCCTACAGGCACGAGTCACTAATATCAAGTGCTCGAGCGCGATGGAGCCTGACACGAGACGTACTATAATGCGTTAGTCTAGCTATGTATATACAGCACACTACGATACGGCCTTCGAGATGGTGCCACACTATATACTAGGCAGTCACGGGGGCAGCATCAGTTTCCTGCCCCGAGATTGTGTCCTTGGGGGCTGCCTGCTGCGGAGCTTCCGTGCCTTCGGTCACCGAAATCGACTTGTTGTTAGTGTCCTCTTGTGCCTTGGGCGCATCTAGGAATCCGTTTTCCCCGAGCCATGCAATTGCTTCCATGACCTTTCG